TATTATAATGTAGTATAATTTTAAATTATAATCCATAAAATAATTTCGCTCGCGTGCGATTGGTCTAAACACGTCGCGTGACCGAATATTCCCCAGCTAAAACTGGGGAATATCTGAAAATAATTCCCTCATTTTCAAAACTGCGCGTGTTGCTAAAAAGATTTGAAAGATAATAAACACAATAGCCTCCATTTTGCGCTAAATATCCTCGAAGCTCACAGTTTTCCGAGAGCTAGTCTCTCGGAAAACTGTTCGCTTCTCGGAACAGATAATCTCCGCGGACAAATATCCTAGCATATTTTCGCGTCAAATGAAGGCTATTATTTATGTAGTTCTTAAAGCGCTAGTGATCATTACATACAAGTGTACACGTAATGCGGACTAAGTCTTCCAGTTTGAAACGATTTGTCAATTTTCGTCCTATAAAAAAAGTTTGGAAACAATTGTTTCGCTGCTTGGTACCAGTATACAAAATCAATTATGTTACTCAGAATTTATGTTCTTGGATGGAAAAATGATTGTTCAATATTTTGATAATCGCGTTCTGATGTGGAAGGAGGGATGGCGCAGTGGTGAGGGCGCTCGCCTCCAACCAATGTGACTCGTGCTCGATTTCGACCCGGTGCTCTATGTGGGTTGAGATTGTTTTTGGTTCTCGCCTTGCTCCGAGGGTGTTTCACTGGGTATGCAGTTTTCCTTCCTTCTGAAAAACCAACTTTTACAACTTTTATAATTCGATCAGGTAAGAGGACACACGTGAAAACCAGCTAGGGCTCAAGTGGCTTTCTCTAAATAGATATTATAATTTTAAACCCCGCAGAGTTTTACTAATAACGCACCACGAGTTATATCACGACAAGCACCGTATCTCTCTGTTACTGAAACAGCTTCTAACCTGTCTTTGGTATTGTGTTTTTTACAACTTATCAGGGAGCTTTGTATGCCAAAGGTGAACTCTACAATCAAGATCAAGTCATGTGGTTCTGTGTGGAGGCAGAAGGAGTTATTTAAATAAACAATAACTGCAATAGCAACCGAGAACCAAGTGCAAGAACCAAAGGAATAAAATAAAATAAAATGGTGTTATGTTAAGGGAGCCTCAAGTTATTGGGTTCCCAAGTCACCGCTGAAATCAGTGAGTATAATGTAATTTTTGCAATATCCAAATGGTCATTAAAACTCAACCTTGCTCGGTATGGGTCTGAAAATTGATGTTCTGCCTATTTAAAACAC